CTCTGCACAGTCATCTTCTCAAGTCTACCAGTCTCTCTTTATAAACTCTTTTATATCTATCCTAATTTATTTGCATCTCTTTCTCAAAACACATATATTTTCTTAGGCAGTTAGACATTCATTCACATAAAGATTTGTCCATAACCCTGTTTCAATTAGTGTAGTGATGATTGTGTCACAATATATAAAAAATAAAGTATAAACTAATAAAAATGTAAATAATATCATTTAAAAAAAACTTAAAAAAAACTGGCATGACATCAGCAGTGAATAATTAACCTAAAAACTGCTCTGATTCACAAGGCTCAGACCTCTTATGACCTTGTTAGGCATCAATTCTTACCCTTTTCTTTTTTGTACTGATGTGTTCAAATCAGGGCAGGGACAGAATAAATGTTTTTTTCATCTGTGTGCGTGGAAGCCATGCTTTAAACATTTTATGACTATAACCTTTGAAAAAGTTAAGTGAAAAGATCAGGTGGAGGACAAAAATAAATGGGACAAGTTCTAAGTATAGACACACTGGCCATCTTTTTTTTACTATTATTATTATTTTGAACAGGGAAACAACTTCTTTTGTGCAATCACTCCTCACCACTTTAGTTTAATGTAGTCCTGACATCCACCTTATTTTTTTTTTTCAGACCACTTAGATTTCAACACTTTTTTTTTTTAATTTGTTTCCAAAATAACTAACACATACGTGAAAGTAATGTCATGGACTGTGCTTCACAATGAGAAATCGGAGATCCGAGTTCGATTTCCAGTCACATTTGTTACATTCACTTTAAATAATAGGTTCTGAACTTAAGCAGGTATATATAAAATAAACTGTCACAACTGTTCCTTACAATATACTGGGGAAACTTACAGAAATTTAACAAAGCCTATTTATGAACACAAAAAAGGATTTTATACACAACAATTTATAAAATGTATCAGTCATACATAGAAATAAATTCAACTGCAAAAAGTAACTTAGAATTCTCAAGAGTGCTGCTATTGAATCTTACCAAAATATAAATCTATACCCAGGATTTTTCAAATATCTCTGTTCCTAAAAGAAATACTCCTTTCCCAAGCTAACATACATGACTATAAAAATTAACAAAATTGAAAGAAAATAGTTAAATTCAAAGCCTTCTATTATTTAAAATATATAATAATTCCAAACTAAATTAATTCAAATATTAATTACATTTAAAAAAAAAAATAACAATAAAAATATTCACTTGCTTTTGTTTATTATTTTGCCAGTTTGGTACTCAGATTATAGATGATTGATAGATTGAAACTTTTACTTTGATGTGTGCCAACATAATAAAATATGAGGCATTACTTTCAGAGCATGACACTTGTGTATTTCATACTGACATACATGTGTCTATATATCAGAATAATGTTGTTTAGGTTGATTTAATTGAAAGTAAGTAATTTATCAAGGTGAAAGTATATTGAAAGTGCACTGATTTCAAGTCTTGCACAGTAAATTTGAATTTAATGTTCTTACAGCATTTCACTTTTCTTAAAGCTGTTGTTGCAGTGTGAGATATTTAAAACCCACAGCAATAAAAATGAAAGTGTTGGGAAAGCAAATGAAATTGGCTGAATTGAGCCTCTAGACATATTGAAAAAGTTGATAAGCAGTGAAAAAAAATAAAAGCAAATCAATCAATCAACCAATCTAGACATATTGAAGACAACAGAAATTTTAAAATTTTAAATTTAGTATTCTTACATATTCAGCATTTCACTTGGGGCATAATTATAACCAACATTTACATTTATATTTCCCCCTTCTCCTACAGTGTCCTGGTTAAGATGATAAACTACATCCAACAGCAAGGCCTCTGATCAGGAGGTTTTGAGGAGTGTGGAACCACCTCTTAACTGCTGGTGTTCCCAGGTCCACTCTGAACCATCTCTTAATTGCTGGTGTTCCCAGCTCCACCCTGATCTGGGGTGGTAGCACCTGTTAGGGTCCCAGCTATGGGCAAATAGTTAACCCCCCCAAACTGGAGTTAAAACACCATGAAAGTGTAAAAATAGGTTTTAATACCAGCAATACATTTTTGTAAAAATTTATTATCAGCAATACATTTTTGTAAAAATTTATTATCAGCAATACATTTTTGTAAAAATTTATTATCAGCAATACATTTTTGTAAAAAATAAATATTAGCAGCAATACATTTTTGGAAAAAATATTACCAGCAATAAAAATCTTATCGGCATTATATAACCCATTGAGGTTGATATACCATAAAACATACCAAACCAAACCTATACTACATATATACAATTCCATCAATAACAACATTACTTTATTCTGATGAAGTCCTCTTAGAGGATTATACATCTCCAAAAATTGAAATGATGGATTCAGCCATCTTCCTTTGATTTTCCAACATATTTGTTGTGTATGTTGGCTTGGAAATGTGAGATTTGGAAAAACGGTAGATTGATAATATTTGATGGCGTCTCTCTTGAGGATTTTCCTGCTGAGTAAATTACTTTCTCTTTTGATGAGTGAGGTATTTTTTTAGATCAAAATTGTGGTCAAATTTATTTCTAACTTATTTCTATGGCTAAAGAAAGTAATTTAGTGTTGGCTAAACTAAGTATAGTGAGATAAACCATAATACTTAGATGGTTGCAATGGATGTTGTGAACTTATATAGCAACATTGCATATGACTACAGAATAGAGGCCATAAAATACTGGCTAGAAACATTTCCCCATGAGCTACCAAATCATATCAAAGGAAATTTCATCACAGGAAGCCTAGAATTCATCTTAAAAATCAATTATTTCATGTTCAACAAAACACCCTATTGACAAAAATCAGGAACAGCCATAGGGACAAAGGTTGCACCAACATATGCCAACCTAGTCATGGGATACCATGAACTAAAAATCTATGACAGAACCTCAGAAATTTATGGGAATGGCTTCAGTTGCAACTTAAAAGAAAACTGGAAAAGATATCTAGATGACGGTTTCATTTTGTAGAATGAAAGTCTGGATAAATTAAAGACATTCCAAGCATCCATTAATAATATAAATCCTAGCATCCAATTCACTATGGAGTAGAGCAACAAAAAAACTTCCATTTTTAGACATATTAATAACAAAAACAAACACTAAACTAGAAACCGACATATATTTTAAGCCAACTCTCGACAATATCTCCTTTTTACATCTTCTCACCTGAAACACACTTGTAGCAACATCTCACTCAACCTAGCCAAGCAAATATGTACAATAGTCTCAAACACAACTACAAGAGACCACAGCCTAGAAGAGATGAAAAAAAATATTCATCAAGAGAAAATACCCACAATGTTTGGTCAACAATAGTGTTGAAAAAGCAAAACAAATTAACATCCACACACTCTGAGAAACAAAAGAAAAAAAGGTCATCCCTTATGTCTCAACTTTCAACTCAAAGAACACAGAAATCTACACACACATATAACTAAATCTACCAGTCATACTAAAGGACAAAAAAACAAAACAAAAAAAAACATGAAAAGCCTATTACAAAAATATCCAATCATAAAAAGTAAACAACACCCAAAATCACTAAAAAAGATGCTGACGAGTGCAAAATTGCAGAACTAATTAAAGACCCTCAGGTGAAAAAATGTAACCAACCACTTTGCAGGGTATACAACTATCTATTAGAGGGCCATGAATTTCAGTTCAAAGACGGATCAAAATTCAAAATGATTTCTCGTGCGACTCAAAGAATTTAATATACATAATTACATGTAAAGGTTGCCACGAACATTACATGCAAAAGATGATAGTTCATTGACAACAAATTAGGAACATCCACACCAGAAAAATACCTTTTAGCCAACATATAGACAAATGTGGAGGACAAAATCTGTCAAATTTTAGTGTCTTCCCATTCTACCAGTGCGACTACAGAACCACTGAACAAAGGTAGATTAATAAGGAAATATTTTTCATCAACAAGTTCAAACCAATACTCAATTCATTACACAAATAGATTCTGCCAAATTCCCCTTACCATAAATGACTTATATAGCCAGTTACGCCTCTTGATTTTCATTTTTTTCATTTGTTCAAAATATAAGCATCAACATGTGGAGATAGGAACAGTTAAAAACTCTTTGAAAAGTTAAGCAAAACTGGTAAAAAAGTATAAAAAACAAGAAAATGACAAATTATTTTTCTAAAAAAAAAAAAAAAAAAAAAAAAGAAAATTTAGTTGTAAGTAACAAAGTTTTAATTCTTCTCTGTAAAAATTCATATATTATAAATAAATATCACTATATTAAATATTAAGTGCCTTTTTTTCCAATTCTTATTTTGGTCTATCAATAAGTTTTTGTACAGAATCTTTCTAACAAATATTTATATATATATATATATATATATATATATATATATATATATATATATATATCATTTGAAAAAACCTCGGACAGCTTAACTTGTAATAGAACAAATCAGTACCTGAGAAAAAATGGGAAATAAAAAAAGAAAGAACCAAGAACATTAAAACAAAGTAAAAGCAATCATCAGGTGTTTAAGCTCCAAGTCCAAAGAAAAAAACAAAAAAACAAAACGAGTAAAAAGGGTAAAAAGACAACTATGTAAACTGCTCAATACACTAAGTAGAACAAACCAAAAGTAATCCTAAGGAGCCAGGCAAACCTACCTAGGTTTCACCTAAATGGATGGAGATATATATATATATATATATATATATATATATATATATATATATGAGGGAGTTCTAAACCATATTCAATCTGACCCTCTTTCCAAAATCTGAACAAATGTTATTTGTCAAGCTGATAATATTTCAGTAACCCTCCTTTTATGCATGTGTTGCAATATTTTTTTTACAACACATTGTGTACAATCACCGTGTATGCTTTAGATGTTGAGTTTACATGTTTACATTTTACTTTTAGTTTTCTTTTTCAACCATTTGATATTCTAAATTGCCTTGTGACTTTCAGACAAAACTTGATGGGCCACACATCATCGAGCCTCCCTTCAGCGATGTCTTCTAATCCTTGGCTTGATGAACCAGAAGAATTTCGTGGACTTGCCAACCAAGACATCCGCTCACAACAACAAAATCTGATTGAGCGTAAGTAACTATTTGTTTCCCTCCTTCTGAGTTCTGTTCTTTCACTTATGGAAAAAAAAATGATTTTCTACTGCTCAATATATTATTTGTTTTGTTTTCACTGATTTTATCCATGAAAAGGGAACCTAGATTATTTAAGGTGGATGCAAAAGTTTCCAGTGAAAAAAAGTGTTTCACTGTGAACTAAATCTCTAGTTTTGAAAAAAAGAAAAAATTGTACATTATTTATATTATTCGCACTATTGTCCTCATCTTTGTTGCTATGTTTATCACAACATTTTGGCCGTTGTACGCTCCGGCCTTCTTCAGGTGGTTGGAATGTCGAACTGAACTCTTTATTTCGCTCACTGGGGTAGACTGTTCTAGTTCCACGTGCCATCTCTAATGGATGTCAGTTATCTCCTGTTAATTCCCCTCTGAAAGTTCTCCACTGCCTTAACCAGGTATTGAACTCACACTCTTTGGGTCCTGTCACTGGATCTAACTAATGCCTTTATCCACTGTGCCATGTGTCCTTGATTTCAATACCTCTTTAAGGTAGTGGAGAACATGGAGAGAAAATCGGTAATACAATAATCTACAAACGAGCAAGAATATTAAGTCTGAACTGTCACAGCTGACTGTTGGAGAAAAACTACTCTGACAAAAAGCTTTTATTTGTAACTTGGAAGAGTCCATTCGTGTATGGGTACTTTACCATAACAGATGGTAAAGTAATTCTTGGGCCCCACTGTATAAACTCTATTGATAATTTATTTTTTTTTTTAACTTTGTCCAAGAAAATTATTTTTTAATCATTTATTTTTCTTTTTAAATTATTTCACTTCAAGCAAGGCAATAATGCCACTAGGACGTTACAAGGTGTGAGAGAGAATGAGAAGACTTTAGTGAGGAGAAATGAAGAAAAGGACAATAAAAGAACAGGATTTACAAAGATGGAAGATAGTGATTGACATTGCATTTAAATTTTAGAAGATTTCAGGTTGCAGGGCATTAAGAAATCGGAACGGATTTGCACAGGTGAGAAGTGCAAGAAAATAAACTATTAGAATAGAATGGATGGTTGCATTTAGCTAGTTCAACAGTAAAATGGTGAGACCTAGTTGCCAATCTAGTAGCACGCTTAAATTCATGCAGTCGAGGCACTAAGGAGAAAAGCTCATCAAAACAATTGCCATGGAAATGTTTATAGAAAAGACAGTGGGAAGCCATGTTGATTACATTACAAACCCTTTTTTGAATTTTGTCAAGAATCTCAAGATATATAGTTGGAGCACCAGACCAGATATGGCAGCAGTATTCAATGCATGAATGGATGATAGATTTCTAAATGTGCAAGAAGGATTCTGTTGAGAAGAATTGTTTGGTATGACAGAGTGAATCAACTTTCCTAGCAGTAGACCTTGCAATTGATTCAGTATAATCACTCTAATTCATGTCAGTGGAAAACATAAGTCCAAAAAAGTCACAAAGTAGAGTTTAGCCAAAATTTTATAATCTGTAGAGAAACTGGGCATGGAGCATTTCTGACTCTGCAATGTTTGCAAGGCTCATCTTGATAGCCATTGAAAGTGAGCTTGCTTCTCACTTGTACTGGATAAATATCTGGAGAAAGTGAATATGAGTTAAGCCAACTGAGTTAAAAAAAAAAACAAAAAAAAACAGCTTCTGCTTCACAGAATATATACAGGACTGTAAACTATACAAAAAAAAAAAAAAGAAAAAAGTATGCAGCTAGATTGTTGTTGAATAGGATGGGTCGTCACCAGCTGAAAGCATGGAGTCAAATAAGAGTTAGAATGGAAGTATGGTGACATATTTTATAAAGGTGGTTTTGTCATCAGTGCAATTTAACTTTTATCCTGTTGAAAGAAGTCATGAATTTTATAACAAACATTTAAGAAAAAAAAAATATGCACTGCCGATCCATCACTAAGACATCACCTTCCCATTTAAAGACAAGTATCAAGGCATTACCTCATATTTGATATTTGTTGTTAACATAAGAGTGTCATGATTGTTTTTTTTTTGTATGATAACATTAAAAAAATACTTTGTACTAGATTTCCACATAATCATTATGCTTAAATTTTTCAGATATGCCAGGTAATTTTGATTTACAAAGAGGAAAAAATATTTCGGTTTTGTCACTATTTAGTGAAATCTAATATAAAATTTAATAAGAAACACACAAAAATATTGACAGTCAATAATTATTGTAATCTGTCATGAAAAATAATTTCTAAATGATTAATGGATTTATTTTTAATCTGATATTTGTGTCATTTTAATTTGTTATTATAGTGAATACTCATATGTGAAATAGATGCCCCATTTTTAGTTTTACTTTAAATAGTGCATATTATGTTTATTTAACCCATAGCTTGGAGGAGAGATGGATTTCTCAAGGCTATTTGCATGTAAGTGAAATCTCTGCCCAAACATGTGTATCCACTAAATATAATGTATATTGTATATTTTCCAAAATATTCAGAAAAAACGATATGTAAGGTTTAAAATTAATTTTTAAAAATGAAAAATCTTTCTTCAGGCTTGTATTTTTGTTTTAATTTCAAGCTAATAGATTAAATTTAATATTTCCAATAAGCAAAATACTTTATTGTATTTCAAAAGCTAATTTAAATAGACTGGAAGGGAATTTTTTTTTTTGCTAAAATAACTAATTCACACCCTTTTTTATTTGTCTTTCATTACAATGTCATTCTGTTTATTAAAAAATCTTCCAAAAATAAAATATACTTTTCTGAGGCTTTATTTGGGGAATATTAGCTGATTTAAAGTACAATTAATCCAATTTGAAACAAGTATTATTTAAGTTTAAAATAGTGCAGAAATGAATTTTTTAAGCAAACATTTGCCATGTTTATGTGTTAAACAAGGTGATGACAGATTGTTCTATGGAGATTTTATCTGTAAAACATAATTTAAGAGAGGGACATGAGCATCTTCTTTATATAATTTTTAATTACTCAGTAATCTTAAAAATGTTGCAAAACATTCTCTGTAATCTATTTTTAGGAATGTTGACTTTACCATAGTCATTGCACTTATTTTCTGATAATGTTGTATATGGTTATCATACTTTCAAAAATGAACATGTTATATAATATTTTATGTACATAAAAAAATTAAAAATGATTTTAAAAATCTTTGTGTGTGATGAATTGTATTAAGCCTTTCAATTTTTGATTCGTAAATATAGTTTTCACTTATTAACAAGATCACCTAGTGCAATTAAAGTAATGCAGAATTTTAAAAGATAAATTTTATAAATAATTATAATTAAAATTAAAAAATTAAAACAATTCTTGTAAAAATTCTTTATTCATAGAATAAAATGTAAGACAATAGCATCCTTAATAAATCTTAATTATAAAAGTTTTTCTAATTAAATAATCTAATAGTTTTACTGTATTTTTTACTTTATGATTCAGAGCAGATTTTCAGGAAATGAGTATCAGTTTGAAAAAAAAAATATGATTTACATTCTCCAAGGAGTCCTGCTTTCAACTAATAAAATAAATTTTGTAATTAAAATTTAATTTCTCTAAATTTCATGTAAAAAAATATTTTACCAAGATTTTCTAAAAAAAAAAAAAAATGTTTCCAAAATAATTTAATTCATTTGGGAATAAGTCCTGAAAGTTTCATTAAAATTCAACAATTAATTGATTTTTGCAAGAATTTCCAAATCAATGTATTTCTTACCAGAAAAAGGCACTAAAACACGAATAGTAAATATTAGGCCGACCGTTGATGCAAAAAAAAAAGAAAAAAAAAAGAAAGGATTTTTAACCAAAATTTTGAAGCTAGAAAGGATAAAAAAATTTTAATAAAATAATAAAAAAAATACTTTGGTCTTTACAGTTAATAATAGCATAAACATTGTGATGATAAAATTTTGTTTTCTTTTTAAGTCTGGGCCTTTCTTCATCATGCTATTTTAGTATATATTTTAGTGAATTAGTGGAGGTACCTACTGTGTAGTAAAAAAGAACGAAGTCAAATTATAAATAAAAATCGAGACTGCATCTCACTTTGTAGGAGAAACCAACAAATGGTGGTACAAAGTTGTAGGTAGGGGACACATTGTTTATTAAAGTTTCTTGAATACTCAGGTGAATAGAAGATTAATACATATTATTTAAGGTAAAAATAAAAATGCGAGTGTCTATTTCAAATATGAGTATTCACTATAATAACATTTGAATTAATGAAAAGAAATATTTAAAAATGGATAAAATTATTTTTAATTCCAGTCCTTATTCACACATGTGACTCCTTTTATTTTTCATTTGCGTTTACAGTAAAAAAAAAAAAAAAATTATGATATTAAATATTTTAGATGTAAAATTCTCAGAAATGGAAATATATTCAGGATGAGAAGCCAAAGGTTTATAGTTAAAAGGTCAACACTCTGGAATAGATGCCAAGATACTTAATTAGTTTTCCTTTTCTTACATTTTTTTGCCATCAAATAGAAATTAGAGATAAAATATTGCCCTGTTAAGAAAACTATAGCGGGAAGTGGGGAGAAAAGATGAATTTATGCCTTTTCGAAGAGCATTAGCATGAAGTAAACATAACAGATTTGGACATAAGAATTTAGGACACCAAAAAATTTTGTTTGAAACCAAAAATGAGTACTGGAACTGGAAATGTAATATCAGTCCTCCAAATGTCAGTGAATGCTGGACAATCTCCTCAAAGACAAAGAAGAGATTTAAAGCAGCAGAAATATAGTTCTACAGAAGGATGCTGAGAATACCATGGAATAAACTTGTGATCAGTAATGAAGTTCTAGAGAAAATGGAAATAAAAAGGACACTTATACTTAACATCAGGAAAAAAATACTTGACATTTCTGGGTCACATAATGAGGAAATAGGGCTTGGAAAATTTGATACTCACAGGACAGATTGAAGGCAAGAGGGACAGAGGAAAAGAATCCATAATCTACCTAGCAAGCTTGAGTAAAT